CTACATCATTATATACTGTGTTATACCTACATCATTATATACTGTGTTATACCTACATCATTATATACTGTTATACCTACTTCATTATATATTGTTATACCTACATTATTATATACTGTATTATACCTACATCATTATATACTGTTATACCTGCATCATTATATACTGTGTTATATCTACATCATTATATACTGTGTTATACCTACATCATTATATACTGTTATACCTACTTCATTATATATTGTGCTATACCTACATTATTATATACTGCATTATACCTACATCATTATATACTGTTATACCTACATCATTATATACTGTGTTATATCTACATCATTATATACTGTGTTATACCCAGGACCTAACCATACCAGATTGGCCAGATCGCGCATGTGGGTGGAGTTGTGTGACGTCATCGTCGCCCTTTGGGGACTACCCCGCCAAGTGAATTCTTTGTACCGAATGTACGCGTGGCGTGCAGTGTGGTCTAGTGAACGTAATGCTGCTATTTTGGATTAATATTCATACCTTTCAACAGCTATGCCAGGTGTCTGTGTAATATTATTTGGCTGTCCAAACACCAAAGTTATGACAACAGGCTCAGAAATTAAGTACTTTGGTTTTCCAAAAAAATAATACTTCAGGAAAGTATGGATAAGCCTGTGTCGTCGTGCTGATACCATCAATCCCAAAAATGCTGTAGTTTGCTCTGTACATTTCAGTAAGGACGACTACAATGGTGATATGAAGAGTCGCTTACTTGGGATTGAAAGCCACTAACAACAAAAGACTCCTAAAGGAAGCAGCTGTGCCCTCCCTTTATCTACCTAATGGTAAGTATCAAGATACCGTGTATAGATTAGCCAGATTTTATATAACACTAAAGTAGCCATCACTGAAGGCCAATATCGTTATGATTTATTAGTAGCAAATATTTGGCGGGGTAGATTGGTAGTGTGTGTGTGTGTGTGTCGTGACGGTGCCACATACTTTCCCGCCACTACCGTCCATATTGCATATTTTACAATTCATTGCTTCTTTTTTTTTTCATGGTTAATTAGAAATGTTATTGGTACTTGACTCAGCCATAATATTTGTTTTCTTTATGATTAGACACCTAAATAAGACCATTTCATACAGCAAACAAAAAGATAATGCGTGCAGATGAAAACAGTTACATGAAAATCATTTGGAAAGTTGGTATAAATAAGTCAGTAGTCATGATGAATATATATATATATATATATATATATATAATTACGTGTACATAGCACCTATAGCAGCAGTATTATTATTTCTTTATTGTGATCTTATTAAGTGCCCAATAGGTTCACACAGTTGCGTAGAATCGTCTGGCATCAGCCAGAACAAGATAATAAAAGTGAACTCTACACCATAAAACTGTGGTTAATAAACATTAGTGTAGGATTTATTTTTCTCGGTCCTTAATGATTTCTAGTCCTTACTGTACAATATATATAGTTAACTTCAGTCATAAGATGTTCGTCTTTATCACCAACCTTGCATAAATATGGTTATCTCCGAAGGAAAGAAAAGAAAACGAAAGAGGTAAAAATTGGAAGAGATTGAAATTGTGAGCGCGGCAAAGTGGAAGCCAATCCTATGGCGAGCATGACGTCACTGCGCGGGCTGCGCTTATTTTGGTCCTATCTGGCCGACCTGCTATGGTTGGGTCCTGGTTATACCTACATCATTATATACTGTGTTACACCTACATTATTATATAATGTGTTATACCTACATCATTATATACTGTACTATGTTATACCTACATTATTATATACTGTGTTATACCTACATCATTATATACTGTTTTATACCTACATCATTATATACTGTTTTATACCTACATCATTATATACTGTGTTATACCTACATTATTATATACTGTGTTATACCTACATTATTATATACTGTGTTATACCTACATCATTATATACTGTGTTATACCTACATCATTATATACTGTTATAGCTACATCATTATATACTGTGTTATACCTACATCATTATATACTGTGTTATACCTACATCATTATATACTGTGTTATACCTACATCATTATATACTGTGTTATACCTACATCATTATATACTGTTATACCTACATTATTATATACTGTTTAGTGTTATACCTACACCATTATATACTGTGTTATTCCTACTTTCTTATATACCTGTGGTGTAATAGTCAGCATCCTTACCTCGTAAGCGAGCTGATCCGAGTTTGATCCTCGGGCAGGGTGAAACTATGGGCAAGTTTCTTTTTGCCATTTGCCTCTGTCTACCCAGAAGTCATTGGGAACCTGGATGTTAATCTATTTGAGGATCCTATTCCGTGCCAGTGCAGTTGGCGAGCTGTCCAGTCTTCTAGGACTACTCCATGACACTGGGTCATGTAGCTCATTAACTTCGGGTGTGATTGTTGTGTTGGCGACAGCTTCTACACCTTAACAAATTCACGCCTAGGAAGCCCTTGGGCCGGCCATCCTCGATTTCGAGGGGCTTCCATTATTATTATATATACCTTGTTATACCTACATTTTTATTTATTAGAAACTAACACAATAACATTCGAAACAATCTATATACAGACAGACAGACAGACAAACACAGATACTTGAAGACAACGCTTTCTCGAGTATCGTACATCATCACCTCCCACATAACCGACAAGTTATAACAACATGTATGACTTAATAACCACACAAGTCAATCACCACCTAAGATAAGCCTTAATAAGTGGACAAAATACCTCTAAACCACAGTTTATATATAAAAAAAGGGAAGACATAATTATCGTACAGCGGGATACCATAAAAAAGTGCCAGCGGTGACAGGTCGTATCTCGCACCTAATTGGCAGAATAGAGCAGCTCATCGTACCAAATTGGGTGGAACTTAGTGGGGAGTTTTTCGAGGCAACAAATCGTCACGAGAGATGCAAGTGACGGGGTTCGATAAGATGAATGTTAGGAACCATCTCGTCTTCCAATTGACGGTCATCGTACATCTGGTGGCTGGGATGCACTCCCCCCCCCCTTCACCGAAGTGTGTGTGTCGTCTCTGTGATACACAGTTGTCGTAAATATGAAGATTTCCCACAAAAACACATGATTGTTATTTATTTGTGTTTGTGGTATTTAAAACAAACCACCACAATATACTTCCTTCCCTACTACACACACACACACACACAGAAGTAACAGAGAGACAGACACACACACAGAAGTAACAGACACACACACACACACAGGTGTTATCATAAACAAGTGTGACAGTCTCAGTCACAGTAGAGACACTGATGATGGTTCTGTCACTCTCACCACACCTCAGGTATTATTAGGTCTCGGGAGGGGAGGGCGTGTGAAGGGAGAGGGGGCATGTGAAGGGAGGGTACGGCCTGTGGAGGGGAGGGGAGGGTGGAGGAGGGGGTGGACGGGTGGAGGGGGGAGGGGCATGTGAAGGAGGGCTTGTGAGGGGACGGTCTGTGGAGGGAGGGGAGGGGTGGATGGGACGGTGTGGAGGGAGGGACGGCCTGTGGAGGGAGGAGGCCTGTGGAGGGAGGGACGGCCTGTGGAGGGAGGGACAGGAGGGAGGGTGGATGTGGAGGGGGAGGGAGAGGGCAGGACGGCCTGTGGAGGGAGAGGGCCTGTGGAGGGAGGGACGGCTGTGAGGGAGGGACGGCCTGTGGAGGAGGGAGGTGGAGGAGGGGAGGTGGAGGGAGGGACTGTGGAGGGAGGGGGGAGGAGGGGGGACGGCCTGTGGAGGGGAGGGACGGGAGGGAGGGGCCTGTGGAGGGAGGGGACGGCCGTGGAGGGAGGGGAGGGAGAGGGTGGGAGGGAGGGAGGGGGAGGGAGGGGAGCCTGTGGAGGGGTGAAGGGAGGGGATGTGGGGGAGGGACGGCCTGTGGGAGGGAGGGGACGGCCTGTGGAGGAGGGGGACGGCCTGTGGAGGGGGCTTGGGGGGAGGGGGATGTGGAGGAGGGAGGGCCTGTGGAGGGAGGGGACGGCCTGTGGAGAGGGAGGGAAGGGAGGGGACGGCCTGTGGAGGGAGGAGGGAGGCGGCCTGTGGAGGGAGGGACGGGGTGGAGGGATGTGGAGGGGGAGGGGGCTTGTGGAGAGGGGACGGGTGGAGGGACGGCCTGTGGAGGGAGGGACGGCCCTGTGGAGGGAGGGACGGCCTGTGGAGGGGGACGGCCTGTGGAGGGAGGGAGGGCCTGTGGAGGGAGGGGAGGGCCTGTGGAGGGGGAGGGGGCCTGGAGGGAGGGGACTGTGGGAGGGAGGGAGGGGTGGGAGGAGGGACAGCTGTGGAGGGAGGGACGGCCTGTGGGAGGGGGAGGCTTGTGGAGGGAGGGGACGGCTGTGGAGGGGAGGGACGGCCTGTGGAGAGGAGGGGGCTTGTGAGAGGGAGGAGAGGGGGTGAGGGAGGGGACGGCCTGTGGAGGGAGGGACGGCCTGTGGAGGGAGGGGAGGCCTGTGGAGGGGGGAGGGCTTGTGAAGGAGGGGGGTGGGGGAGGGGAGGGAGGGGACGGCCTGTGGAGGGAGGGGACGGCCTGTGGAGGGGGCCTGTGGAGGGGGAGGGGGCCTGTGGAGGGGGACGGGGGTAGGGACGGCCTGTGGAGGGAGGGAGGGCTTGGGAGGAGGGGAGGGACGGCCTGTGGAGGAGGGAAGGGGAGGGCCTGTGGAGGGAGGGAGAGAGGGGGAGGGCATGTGGAGGGGGACAGAGGGGCCCAGAGGGTTGTGGAGTCATCAAGGGGACGGCCTGTGGAGGAGAAGCATGTGAAGGAGGACGGCCTGTGGGGGGAGGGAGCAAAGGAGGGGGGCACAAAAAGGGAAAGTATTTTACACATCAAAACACAAGTAACTTTCATAAAACACAATCAAACCAATTTTACTCAAATAAAATGCCCCACATAAAAGTCCACATAATATCTACACATAACAAACTCTTAACTCTGGCCTAAGACTAAAGTTACTCACCAGCGACTTCTTGTCTTCAACTTCTTATTATCGTTTATCTGAAAGAAAAAATAATATTTCAGGGTTACATTCACTTAAAATACGAGTTATACATTATAAAAGTATTGTTAAATTTTAGTTTCATCGCTCATGAATGTGATTTTTTCTTTAATATTTAGGTAAAGTTTGGGTCCAATGTAGTTCCTCGCTCCTGGGTGAATTATATATCTGATAAACTGACTATAAATAACAAACTGACTGACCGATTGCAATAATAATAATAATAATAATAATAATAATAATAACTCAACTGATACTCTATTTAAACATCAACAAAATAAACACATAGACATTATATAAAAACAAAAATTAACAACTTTTCCACAACACAAACAACAGAAAACGAGTAATCAAAACAAATGACAATTACCTCGCGTAACTGACCGATCACTGGTGGCGTTGATAAGGTGGTTAATCCCTCATTATCCCGACCCCATGGAAACCTTACGGGCTGACACTATTACGCCTTCAGTATTGCATTGTTTTCCCCCGCACCCCTGGTTATATGGGTATAACACTGTCATGGCCCCGTATATATATCTGATAGGTGTCGTTTAAGTGGTTTAATTCATCTTTATCTTGTGCCTCTGGAATCCTTACGGGATGCCCTGTGACATTCATATGCCTGTAGTGTAGCACTGTCTTGCCCCGCGATCTATTTATTTGTCAGCTGATGGAGTGATTTGACGGAATTTTGCCTCCGCGAGCGTTGATTGGCTCTTACCACTCATGACGTCATAATACTTGCTTCCAAGAGCATTGATTGGCTCTCACCTCTCATGACGTCACTAATATTTGCTTTAATGAGTGTTGATTGGGTCTTACTACTCATGACGTCACAAATGTGTCTCCACAAGCGCTGATTGGCTCTAACCACTTATGACGTCACTAATACGTTTCTCCACGGGCGTTGATTAGCTCTCACCAATCATGACGTCACTAATACGTGTCTTCGCGGGCGTTGACTGGCTTTTACTGCATACGACGTCACTAATATTTGTCTCCACGGCCGTTGATTGGCTCTTACCACTCATGGCGTTGCTGATGCCCTCTGTTCATATTTGGTACATATAAATTTTCACACAATTGTACCATTATTGTCTTATGTAAGAACTGATCTAAAAATATAACTACAACAACTGCAACCCGACAGCTAAAATTACGTCCCAAACTACACTAAGATTGTTTATATCTTAATTAGAAACGTTCTCTCAGCCGCTATCAAAGGGAAAACGTGCCAGTGTTTACAAGAGGAACTGCGAGACACTTGGACTCCCCCGCGTTTAATAAAACGTAAGAAGAAATATTTATTGTTTTATTTATATATATGTTATTATGCTTTTGCTATCTATCGCTACCAATATCTCTTTCTATATATTTATCTCTTTATCTGTTAATTTATTTCTCTATCTCTCTCCCCTTTTTTTATTTATGGGCTCAGCCCACCCGGGCACAGGTCACTGACCCACATCAGGGCCTGGGACGAAACCATCATAATAATAATAATAATAATAATAATAATAATAATAATAATAATAATAATAATAATAATTAAATAAATAAAACTTACAATAAAAATAAAGCAAAGTAATAATAATATAAAATATACTACTACTACTACTACTACTAATAACAATAATAATAATGAAGGATCATAAATAAAAAACTAAAAAACTCATGAGTGAAAAACGATATACAATATGTATGTTGTGTTGTCAATAGTAAGAGAAACAATTGAGACCCTGCAACTGTGTGTAAATGAGGCAGAAAATCAGATCAGCAACCTGGGACTTGGTCACAATTTTCGTGATGCCATATGGCAGCAGTGTCTACCATTAGACAATACATTATGCTTCCAATACCTTCCCAGGTGGTAGTACCTCCCTGTTTGGTAGCTGGCGACTACCTACTGTTTATCAACATATGCACGAATTACTGCGCTTCGACAACTAAAGTAGTCCACAGACAAAATACTTTTAACACGTATTGATTTTTTCCTGCAAGTACGACTGTTTTACTATTGTAATTAATACAAATTATTAAACTATATAATTTTATAAATAAGATAAATAATATAAAATTCAAACAACCAAATCACCAGAAGTGAAATATTTGCAGGTGATTTTATTTTACTGAGGATACAATATAGTCTAAAGGCACAAAATAAACACTATTATTTTAACTGGGCTAAAAACAAGGATAATTTGTCAATATTTTGGCCGATAATTAATAATATCACGGACGAGTGAGTCAGTGAGAGCTGCGAGTCACTCTAGCCTTCGTAATAAAACTCTACCAACCTACTAATATATCACGAGACTAAAGCTATAGTGGATATATTGTTACCAAAGTATTATTAATAGTTCATAATGTTTACAATATGTGTTATTAACTATATTATTATTTTACAGACATAATTTAACAAGTACTGTAATTATTGATGTTATTCTGCTGTTTCTCGTCAATTCTTATTTTACTTCTTTATTTAAAAACAAGCAACATAAAGCCTCTAAGAAAGCAATATTATTCTTATACTATTATTCATTAATTTCACTAAACATATCATTAAGTTGAATTAGTGTAGTTACAACTGACCGAATAGTTACCGTCGAAATAACAGGAATAACAAATAGAAATACCAGTCAGAAGGAACTTATTTATTAATGTTTAAAGCTGTTTGTTATTAGCATTAGGAACTATGATGTTGAGGTTATATTGTATTACTGCGCTTCAACAACTAAGGTCTTGATGTTGATGTTATAATGTATTACTGCGTTTGAACAACTAAGGTCTTGATGTTGATGTTATAATGTATTACTACGCTTCAACAACTAAGGTCTTGATGTTGAGGTTATAATGTATTACTACGCTTCAACAACTAAGGTCTTGATGTTGATGTTATAATGTATTACTACGCTTCAACAACTAAGTCTTGATGTTGAGGTTATAATGTATTACTACGCTTCAACAACTAAGGTCTTGATGTTGAGGTTATAATGTATTACTACGCTTCAACAACTAAGGTCTTGATGTTGATGTTATAATGTATTACTACGCTTCAACAACTAAGGTCTTGATGTTGATGTTATAATGTATTACTACGCTTCAACAACTAAGGTCTTGATGTTGATATTACTACGCTTATCTTGATGTTGATGTTATAATGTATTACTACGCTTCAACAACTAAGGTCTTGATGTTGAGGTTATAATGTATTACTACGCTTCAACAACTAAGGTCTTGATGATTATAATGTATTACTTTATGAACTAAGACCTTGGCCACTGCCAATAATAACCATCAATTTCTACAATACAATAACATATAGTAAAGTATAACAATCTAAAAATTTTACTTATAATTTGCAATCACTATAAAAAATAGAACGCAGTGTAATTCAATCTCTTGGTATATAATGAACGATTAAAATCTATATTCAATTTCATATTTCAAACAAAAAAGTTTCATTTATTAGTTCGTGGTTTTTTTCAGTGCATTATTAATGAAACAAATATAAGTGTTCTTGAAACGAGGTATTTGAGCCGACTGTAATTTTTTTCAAGTAATGTGATCCGTTAAACAAGTTTAATATTAATTATTTTACCGTAAATGTTAAATATGATATATAAAATGTAAAGAAGGTCAAATGTTAATCAATGATATTCTAACAGTATTATAAGGCTACTCAGTTTACATAACAACGTATATAATAATTGTCAAGAATATATTTACAATTATGATATTGTTGAGGAAAATATTATATGCTCATTGGCGAATATACCGAACGATAGGCTTGCTAGGGAAATATACCATCAAACTATAAGTATGCTAGGGAAATATACCATCAAACTATAAGTATGCTAGGGAAATATACCATCAAACTATAAGTATGCTAGGGAAATATACCATCAAACTATAAGTATGCTAGGGAAATATACCATCAAACTATAAGTTTGCTAGGGAAATATACCATCAAACTATGAGTTTGCTAGGGAAATATACCATCAAACTATAAGTATGCTAGGGAAATATACCATCAAACTATAAGTATGCTAGGGAAATATACCATCAAACTAATATACCATCAAACTATAAGTTTGCTAGGGAAATATACCATCAAACTATAAGTTTGCTAGGGGGAAATATACCATCAAACTATAAGTATGCTAGGTAAATATACCATCAAACTATAAGTTGCTAGGGAAATATACCATCAAACTATAGTTTGCTAGGGAAATATACCATCAAACTATAAGTTGCTAGGGAAATATACCATCAAACTATAAGTTTGCTAGGGAAATATACCATCAAACTATAAGTATGCTAGGGAAATATACCATCAAACTATAAGTATGCTAGGGAAATATACCATCAAACTATAAGTTTGCTAGGGAAATATACCATCAAACTATAAGTATGCTAGGGAAATATACCATCAAACTATAAGTTTGATAGGGAAATATACCATCAAACTATACGTATGCTAGGGAAATATACCATCAAACTATAAGTTTGCTAGGGAAATATACCATCAAACTATAAGTATGCTAGGGAAATATACCATCAAACTATAAGTATGCTAGGGAAATATACCATCAAACGATAAGTTTGATAGGGAAATATACCATCAAACTATAAGTATGCTAGGGAAATATACCATCAAACTATAAGTATGCTAGGGAAATATACCATCAAACTATAAGTTTGATAGGGAAATATACCATCAAACTATGAGTTTGCTAGGGAAATATACCATCAAACTATAAGTATGCTAGGGAAATATACCATCAAACTATAAGTATGCTAGGGAAATATACCATCAAACTATGAGTTTGCTAGGGAAATATACCATCAAACTATAAGTTTGATAGGGAAATATACCATCAAACTATAAGTTTGCTAGGGAAATATAACATCAAAATATAAGTATGCTAGGGAAATATACCATCAAACTATAAGTATGCTAGGGAAATATACCATCAAACTATGAGTTTGCTAG